TAAGGGAATTATTGTTTTTGGTGCCCATGTCCTTTTGATATTCAGCCCTACCCGAGATAAAAAGTTATGCAGTGGTATCACCCTACGTATCCAAAGGAACGTATTCAAGAGGGGCTGGGCTTTCTGTGCTCGTTCAAATCGACCAGATGCAGGAACATTTGCAAATAAGCTCACCGGCACTGGCAAGGCAGCTCCCCAAAAAAATAGACCTACCTTGTTGAGTACCCAGAAGTGACTCAGTGTAACCAAATGGATCTCTATATAAATTGATACAAATATCTCTTTTAGGGTTGGAATTGGCAGTTCCAAAGGAGGTTATTTTTGATCAAATCATATAGAGATCCATTTGGTTACAGCATCAATCAAATCCTTATCCCATTCTAAGCCACGATGAAGGGGCATTCCCATTCTAAGCCACGATGAAGGGGCATTCCCATTCTAAGCCATGATGAAGGGGCATTCCCATTCTAAGCCACGATGAAGGGTCATTCCCATTCTAAGCCATGATGAAGGGGCATTCCCATTCTATGCCACGATGAAGGGTCATTCCCATTCTAAGCCATGATGAAGGGGCATTCCCATTCTAAGTCATGATGAAGGAGCATTCCCATTCTAAGCCATGATGAAGGGGCATTCCCATTCTAAGCCACGATGAAGGGTCATTCCCATTCTAAGCCATGATGAAGGGGCATTCCCATTCTAAGCCATGATGAAGGGGCATTCCCATTCTAAGCCACGATGAAGGGTCATTCCCATTCTAAGCCAAGATGAAGTGGCATTCCCATTCTAAGCCATGATAAAGGGGCATTCCCATTCTAAGCCATGATGAAGGGGCATTCCCTTTCTAAGCCATGATGATGGGGCATTCCCATTCTAAGCCATGATGAAGGAGCATTCCCATTCTAAGCCATGAAAAAGGAGCATTCCCATTCTAAGCCATGATGAAGCAGCATTCCCATTCTAAGCCATGAAAAAGGGACATTCCCATTCTAAGCCATGATGAAGTGGCATTCCCATTCTAAGCCATGATGAAGGGGCATTCCCATTCTAAGCCATGACGATGGGGCATTCCCATTCTCAGCCATGACGATGGGGCATTCCCATTCTCAGCCATGACAATGGGGCATTCCCATTCTCAGCCATGATGAAGTGGCATTTACGTTCTAAGCCATGATGAAGGGGCATTCCCATTCTAAGCCATGATGATGGGGCATTCCCATTCTAAGCCATGATGAAGGGGGCGGGGCATTCCCATTCTAAGCCATAATGGGGAGCTTTGTAGGCCCTGATGAAGGGGGAACGTTGTAGCCCCGATGTGTTGGCTAATTGTTTTGTTTCGGTTTGGCGCCCTTTATTTCTGGACAATATATACGATATTAGACTTTTTTTCCCTAAATCCCACCTTGCCATAGTCGATAACTACCTTGACGTCTCACCATTGCAGCAAGGTTTTATCTGGAAGGGCTGTTTCCGAATCTCGCTATCATTCATTAAATGGATTTGTGCCGAGAATTCCCCGTTAATGACACGCGGCAATTACAGGTTTGCTTACTTTCAGCTGCCAAACCGGGATCTGTTCTTAAATGCCTTCAGACCTCTGTTGTTGACACCTGGTTTTGTGCATTTATGTTTCTCTGTCAATATAACCCTTAAGCTCAATCATGGTATCAAGAGAGATATGACAGCCGGCTTCTTGCTTCTCATCCACAGATAAATCCTTTTTTTTTTTTTTGACAGACAGAAACAAAGTGTGGAGGGAAAATGAAATACCGTCCACGGGTTAAAGTATCATGTTGAGCCATCAGGCTTTTTTTATATGATTTATATGTTTATGTAACGTTAGTCCATGTACTGTACAGTGGAGAAGTGAACCTAATATCCGTCAAGCTATATGCTGAGAGCGCCGCAGCTGGGGCGGATCCTGACAATACCGCAGAGATCCACCCAGCTGGCTGATTGACAGGTGGCTCTGCCTCTCTAAAAGCAGAGCCACCTGTGCCCGCCACCGGCCTCGTCCGTCACTCCCGTATCCTTATGCTAGATGGGTCATCCCCGACCTGTGATACGATGGCCTGACTGCAGATTCTGACCATATAATTGCTGACGACCATACAAGGACCTCACAAACTGAAACACGATGGGGACTCCTTTTGAAAAACCCATATAAACCTTCATCTCCAAATGGCTGCCTCACCTGTTGTAAACGTTGTGAAGATTTCCTTGCTCTTAAGTGATCCCCGAACAGCGTAGATCTTTAAGGTGTATTCTGTAGCCGGCTGAAGTCCGATAATGTCGTTCTCTGCTGTGTTTCCGGAAACTGTGACGTCGACGGCGGGAGCTGCGATGAAAAAAATGAAGGACAAGGATGGAAATTTTCGCTTAGCGCAATTTTGGTAACAATCAACCTAAATATACATATCAATGAACCATTTAATGACCAGAGGTCAGTGATGCCTAGAGGACCGGGCCAAATTTGTCACCGTCAGCAAGCTTTGGTCAACTTGGCAAATGGCCTACTAGTTTTAAATATTTGAACGGACATATAAAAGTCCTGTATTTGGTACACGTAGGGGGTTATTCACTTAGCTGCCGAAGGCTGCCGAGCGAAGGACCGAGCCGAAGTGAAGTGAGCCGGACGCTGTTCGGCTATTCACTTCAGCCTTGTATGGACATCGGCTGAAATCAGCCTTACTTCGGCTGCCTTCGGTCAGCCAAACATGCTCTGCACGTTCGGCTGACCCAAAGTGCAGAAGGACTTCGACTCAGCCGATCCAACATCTGGATCAGCTGAGCTGTAGCTCCGGCAGCTCACTCGCTGCCGTTCGCCCCTATTCTCGTAGGGGCCGAAAGGCAGTAAGTGAATAGCTGAATTCCCCGAGCTGCATTCGGCTCGGCTATTCTGCTCGGTATCTCCGAGGTAGCAAGTAGAGAATAAGTGAAATGAATAAAAAAAAAATTTGAAAAATGATTTTAAAAATGTAAAATAAATAGGAAAATCAAAAAATATATATATTCTAAATAAAATAAAAAATAATAATTTAAAAAAAACCAAAGCACGCCAGCCCGACCGCATGCGACGAACTCCCGCCGTGCAATGAAGCATCTGACAGATGCCTGCAAAATAAAGACAATTGGGGCGGAGCTAGCGGTGACAGCTAGCTACGTCCAGCTGTTTTCTATTGGCCGGCACCTACCAGAGTCTTCTAGCAGGTCCCGACCAATTAATAATAACTGGGCGGAGCCGGCCGTGTCATTGTTTAATGACAGATCAGCGTCCCCAGGTCATTTGGGGATGCTGATCTGTCATTACAACTTGGCGCAGCGAGCCGGGAGATCACGGCTGGCTCCGCCCAGCTGTCATTTCGGCTTCGGCCGACGTTTCTCCATGCTTTGCCTGTCACTATGGCTTAGTCGAGCCGAAGCATATGCGTTCGGCTCGGCTGAGCCGCTCAGCTGCCTTCGGCTGCTGTACGGGCTATTGTGAATAGCCCGTACTGCAGCCCTTCGGTTCCACTGAACCGAAGAGCAGAGGCCGCTGAAGCGAGCCGAAGAATCAGCCGAAGCTCCGGCTGGATCCTTCGGCTCTTTAGTGAATAACCCCCCTGATGGCACGCCAATCTGAAGATAGTTACACAGGTTGAAGAAAAACACCATCGAGTTCAACCTATAGAGATAGTAGTGTAGTAGTAGATAGACCTCACTATGTTGCCCTGAAGAAGGGACCCTGCGTGGCCCCAAAATGTTGGCTGTTTATGACAAATGGTGATGAAGATTCAATAAATTGATCCTATTTCATGTGTGCTGGTGATTATCTGATCTTCATATGAGCTTCACACGGCACCATCTGCGTCATCACTACACTATGAGCACTGCCTTCTTGCAGGGCGTATGCAGTGCAGGTGACCAAGGACACTATCATATTGAGGATAGCAGTGTTCATCTCTAGCTGAAGGCTTTTATTCTGTCCACAAAACCTCCAGGAGGCATGAGATAATAGCGATCACACGTTCGAGAAGCACTCTTGATTAAAGGAGAACTATGGGGTTAGGGCTTTTCCCCATAGTTCTCCTTAGGGTAACGGGAGGACACAAACTAGCGTCCTCCCGTCACCCTAAGCTCAGTATATAGGGAGCTACAGCTCGCGGTATACTGAGACGCCGCAGCCAGAGCGGATCCCGACATCGATGTCTGGATCCGCCCAGCTGCATGAGTGACAGCTGGCTCTGCCTATCTAGAGGCAGAGCCAGCTGTACCTGCCCCCTCCACCGTCCGTTCCCGCCAGTCAGCGCTGGCGGATCGGAGCGGGGAGGGGGGAATCCTCTGCCGTGACAGGATAGAGAAGTGAGCGAACACCGGCATGTGTTCACTCACCTCACGATCTACTGAGCCGACCTGTGACAGTCTCATTGTCACAGGTCGGCTAGAACTATGAGGTGAGGGAAAAGCACCCCCCTCATAGTTCTCCTGTAATACCTGATCATCACTGGTGACCTAAGCTGTCAATGATTGAGAGCCGGCGGGTGCACAAAGGGTCGGCTGCTGGCTCTCAAAGCGGGGGATAGGTTTATAAATGTATCCCCAGCATATGCCGGGGGGAACGTTCCTGTACAGATTGCTGGAGAAACCTACTTACCGTTCTTGGCTGAGTAGGAGATAACGTAACTGTCCACAGAGGCAAAAGAAGGTTTCCACAGTGCCAGAGCCTCAGACTCCGTGACGTTGATGGCACGAAGAGCTGATGGGCCGTCGAGGGCTGAAAAATAATTGACATATCACGTGATAAGCATTTGCATCAATGTTGAATAAAGATGTTGACGCGTCTGACTTGTCAGAGCGGCTCCGGGACAGATATCATTTCTAATTCCTATCTTTATGATTATTCTGAACACATTCTTATCATTTCAAATAGGTGGTCATTATGCCCAAGGGCAGCCTTTGTCCATCGGGGTGCCGTGGCACTCTATAGTGTGCCCGCCTGGGGCTCCTCAGGGGCGCCTCTGTGGTGGTGGGACTGTGATGTGACAGGAGGAATGAAGACTGATGTGATGGGGGCCCCTGATTTAAAAGGGGGGGGTGGTGACATTGATATTAAAGTGGGGCTTCTGATTTAAAGGAGGATCTCTGATGTGAAAGGTGGAAGGGGGCTCTGATATGAAAGGTGAGCTCCTGATGTAAAAGGGGAACTCTAATGTGAAAGGGGGGGTGACTTTGATATAGTGAAAGGTGGGCTCCTGATGTAAAAGGGGAGCTCTGATGTAAAAGGGGGGGGGGGCACTGATATGAAAGGGGTGCTCCTGATGTAAAAGGGGAACTCTGATGTGAAAGGGGGGTGGACTCTGATATTAAAGTAGGGCTTTTGATGTGAACGGTGAGCTCCTGATGCAAAGGGTGACCCTGATGTGAAGTGGTGGTACAAATCTTCATTTGAAGGGGGCACTTCAATGTGAAGGGGGAAACCCACTTTTGCGTGTGTTTTTGCAATGGGTCCCCCTTAAAATCTATGACATTTTAGACTGGGGTGCTTCAATATTTTGCATACTTTTAAAGGTTGCCGTGACTTAAAAAAAGGTTCAGGAATCTGTCCTAGGGACTCCAAAGCACAGTTTTAGGGACAGTTTTAAAACAATTTTAGGGACACCACGATAGAAGCGACATACCTGTGGTCAGAGAACCAGAAGCTGGTTGGCTTTGCTCGTTTCCTTTCACGGACACAATGCTCACAGTGTATATAACTCCCGGCGAGAGGTTGACTAACGTAGTTTGTGTTTTTGATCCGTCAACTTCAACTGTCTGACTGGCGCCTGAAAAAAAAAAAATTGTTCAAGAAAAGTTTTTTTTTTTTAAGCGTAAGGATTTTGGAAAGAGAAAAAAAAAGTGAAAGTAAGAAGCTTCTACTTTGAGGATGAGTTGCTCCTCACTATCTGCAGCTACGTAGGTCAGTGAGGGCTTGTTATGAAGTTTATTTACTGCTTGTTAGTGATCTGTAGCTCTGTAGCTGCAGCCACTTTGGTGAAATTCCTCCTCAAAGCTAACAGCAGCAAGTCATTTCCATTTTATTTCGGCAGTTTAGTCTGTTCCATCCTCCCGTCAGGGATTGGGCAGCCTTTCAGCCTTGTAATTTCTAAGGTGCAGGTGCACAAGTGTTGACACCCCCACCCCCACAGATTTACTGCTTCTATGTGACATTTGAGGCTGAATTGCACCACATTGTCTGTAGCTACAGATTCTAATATTTGAATGGCCTGGCTGAGCAAAATATTGAATGATCAGGGTGTTATGAATCAGGGGAGCAGGCCTCTTCAGCTGGCACACAGTTTGCATTGGCATAAGATATATCTACGATCTAATGTAAAGAAAACCCCAAAAATAGCTAAAAGTACATTTGCTAGTCAGCTCTTTCTGGGTCTTTTGCAATGTTAAATAGCTCAACTGCGTGTAATCAAATTGCTCTGCAATCTCAGGCAATGCCCTACAACGATAGGTCATGGTATGGGTCATTCGTTGGACTGCCCTGGACTGATCTCTACCCAAGGCAGGGCTGCCATTAGAAAACGTGAGGCCCTGTATGATGCTGCACTGGGGCCAACCACAGAGTCAGACAGGCCATGCCGGGCTCCCTGCTGACCCAAAGCAACCAGGCCCGAGACTGGAGAACTGCCTCTACCTCTCATCAGCAACCCTGACACCTGCTCAAGTCAATCCTTGGACCCCCCCCAGACTGTTTTCTACCCAAGAATGGGCTGTCATTAGAAATAATGGGGCACCATATGATGCTGCACTGGGGCCACCCACAGACATCCCATGCCAGGCCCCCTGCTGACCCAAAGCACCCAAGCTCAGGACTGAAGAACTGCCTGTACCCCACTATCAGCAACCCTGACCCCAGAGGCATTCAAGCACAGGTCAATCTTTGGACTCCCCTGAACTGTTGTCTACCCCAGAAAGGACTGCCATTAGAAATAATGGGGAACCATATAACGCTGCACTGAGGCCAACCACAGGCAGGCCATGCCAGACCCCACTGCTGACCCAAAGCACCCAGGCCCGGGACTGGAGAACTGCCTGTACTCCCCCCCTATCAGCAACCCTGACCCCAGAGGCAGTCATAAATGTTTTATATTAAGACAAAGATGGGAGCCATCATTGAGATGCCATGATTTACCTCCAGCCACGGGAACATATGTGATGATGAACTTGTTCACCCGGATTCTTGGAGCTAACCAGATCACCTTGGCAGAGTTCTCGGTGATGTCAGAGAAGGACAGCCCCTGCGGAGATCCCAAACCTGCAAATGAACAAGACGTGTCAATCAAAACCTACAAACTCAGTTCTGAGGACCGACATCATTTGTTTGTTTTTTCATTTCCTCTGAGCTCAGGTCATCCTGGACAATGGGAGACTCAAGACAATGGACCACTGTGGTTATCCCCCCCAAACAAATTGGCAGGAACACGGCTACTTCTAGACCTGCTGAGAACATATTCAATGTTATGCTCCAAGAGCAGAGCAGCTATAGAGGGATTTGTACAGTTTATAATCTTATTGAAGTAAAATAAACATAAAAGTCTTGCAAACAATTTACATTTAAGACGCTTTAGACTGGACAGATGAGTCCATGACGGAGATCTTCCAAAATTCCGACCCCCCCAAAAAAAGGCCCTGCCAATCTTAATCTGCGTTGTAGTCAGGGCCAGATTTACTCTCCCTGCTGCCCCAAGGGCAAGTTCCGCAATGCGCCCTCCCTCCCCGCCAACCCCCCCAACGGAGAATGGCAACCAGATGGCAGGGCGGCAGGGTTAGTTTTAAAACATTTTTATTGTTTCTTTATTTAAAAAAAAACTTTTTTATTACTTTTTTATTTTTATTTGTTTTTTTAAAATTTTAAAATTTTTTATTTATCTTATCGTTTACTTTTTTTTAAATAATTGTTTTTATCTTATTATTGTTTATTTTCTATTTTTAATTATTTTCTTATTTTTTAATAGAAAACTTTTTATTTAATTATTTCTTATTTTATTTATTTATTTATTTTTAATCAAATTTTTTTCTCACCTAACTTTATTGCTATTGCACAGGAGCAAACAAGCCCCTGTGTGATAGCAATCGGAGGTGACAGATTCTCTTTATTGATCCTGCCACCTCCCATACAGGAGTTCTAGCGTAGCGCTGTGCTGGAATTCCAGTGACAGGTGACTGCATCGGCGGCCAGTAAGAGGAAAGAGACTCGGCGGCGGAGCCTGGAGGACGGAGCCAGCGTGGAGAGAGATTAGTGCAGGGGGGAGGGGAGGACGGACGGACCGGCTGCAGACTTTTTACAAGTGATCTCGGCAACATCGCCGAGATCACATGTAAACGTACAATCGGCTTCCTCACACTACATTAAGGCTGGGTTCACACCTAGGTAAAAAAAAACGCGCGACAAACGCGTTTTTCCGTGGGCTACTTGGCTGTATCCCAATGGAAACGCGAGACCAAAACGCCCCAAAGAAGTACATGTACTTCTTTGGGCGTAGGCCGTTTTTGTATCGCGTTCGGACGGGCGGAAATACGCCAAGGTGTGAACCAGACCCATTGAATACAAAGGGATTTAGATGTTTGAGCGTTTTGTAAAGCGTTCGTCGAGCGTTGAACGCGATAAAAAACGTTCAGGTGTGAACCAGGCCTTAGTCCTGCTTGTAAAAAGCGGGACTAAATGTAGAAAGCAACTTACCGCCCGGAACTTCCCCACAAGGACACCGCTGCCGCCCCTCTGTGTCCTGCCGCCCCAAGGCCGGGCCTTGGTGGCCTTGTGGGGAATCCGGCCCTGGTTGTAGTTAGCCAAATCCAAAACGCTTCTCCAATCCAAACAGCAGCCTAAACCGGAGGGATCCATTTGTTTAATATCTGTCTCAGCTTCTTTTATTACATTTGTCATTTTTTTTTTTCCTCAATCGGTCACTTTCCATGAAGATTTTTTTTTGGGAACAAAAAAAAAAACAGACGGAAGATTTTTCCCTATTACGCAGCAATAGCCCACACATGTAAAAGTCCATTAGTCATGGTGAGCGAAAACCCAAACAAGCCAAATTAAAAAGGTTTGATGGAGGACTGCCAGTATTGCAGAAGAGCAAAGGGGGTCCTTGGAAAGAAATTGTCAGCGGTGAAGAAAAAAAAACAACCCAAAAGATATTCACCGGCTCCGAGATTCACATATTTTTTTTATAATATACAGGTGAAACTCGAATAATTAGAATATCGTGCAAAGTTCATTTATTTCACCAATGCAACTTAAAAGGTGAAACTAATATATGAGAGAGACTCATTACATGCAAAGCAAGATAGTTCAAGCCGTGATTTGTCATCATTGTGATGATTATGGCTTACAGCTCATGAAAACCCCAAGAACCCCAAATCCACAACCTCAGAAAAGTAGATTATTACATGCAATCAATAAAACAAGGATTGTACATAGAACAATATCGGACCTCTGAAAAGTACAAGCATGCATATGTACTCAGTACTTGGTTTGGGCCCCTTTTGCAGCACTTACTGCAATTACTTTTG